AACGCTCGAGCGTAAGTACGCTCCCAGTCAACGACAGCAACTCCGACATGAGTTTCTACGGCGCGGGTCGGAAACTCGACGACATCCAAAGCGTCGACTCGCACAGTTACCCACCAACAGAGATCAAGCCCCCCGTGCCCTCGTGGGGCGGCGGCTCAGGCTCGTTAAACGCGTATCAGCAGTCGATACATGGCCGTTCCTCAATAGGCGTTGTCGACTACAGCAAGCGAGTGTCGGGCTTGGCTCGGTGGGAGCGCACTCTATGGAAGAAACTCGAAGTGGGTGACATCGTGTTACTGCGCGAGAACGAGCAGGTCCCGGCAGACATCATCGTTTTGTCAACGTCGGATCCAGACGACATGTGCTACCTGGAGACCAAGAACCTCGATGGCGAGACGAATTTGAAGCCCCGCAAGTCTGTCAAGGCGACGTCCTCAATCACTTCTGAGGAAGACGTTGAGCGTGTCTCCTTCGTCTTGGATTCAGAACCCCCTCACGCCAACCTCTACGTGTATAACGGCATCCTACGGTACAAGGACGCCGTCAGCGGGCAAGACAAACAAGAGTCCGTCACGATTAACGAGCTGCTTCTACGTGGCTGCACATTGCGGAACACAACCTGGGTTATCGGGCTGGTCGTCTTCACTGGCGCAGACTCCAAGATCATGATGAACGGTGGGGAGACACCCTCGAAGCGATCGAAGATCGAGATCGAGACCAATTTCAACGTCGTTGTCAACTTCGTCATGCTCATCCTCATGTGTGTTGTTTCTGGCATTCTCAGCGGCTATATGGATGCAAAGTCGAATACGAGTGCCAAGGAATACGAACAGGGTGCAGATCCAACAAGTTCATTCGTCCTGAATGGGATCATCACCTTTGTGTAAGTTTGTAGATGCGACTCAGGACCCAGTGACCTGATGCTCACCGGTACTTCAGGTCTTGTCTTATCGCTTTCCAGAACATAGTTCCGGTCTCGTTGTACATCTCTATCGAGATCGTGAAGACGATCCAAGCGTTTTTCATCTCACAGGACGTCGACATGTACTACCAACCATTCGACGCGGCCTGCGCTCCGAAGACTTGGAACATTTCGGACGACCTTGGGCAGATCGAGTACATCTTCTCCGACAAGACTGGCACGCTCACGCAGAACGTCATGGAGTTCCAGAAGTGTTCTGTCAACGGCATCGCTTATGGCGAAGGCGTCACCGAGGCTCAGCGAGGCGCCGCTAAGCGAGAAGGCAGAACCGACGCACTCGACCCAGAGGAACAGGAGGTCCAGCTTCACATGCTCAAACAGCGCATGCTCGATAAGATGGCTCAGACCTTCAAGAACCGATACGCGCAGCCCGACCATCTCACACTCATCTCCCCAAAGCTCGCAGACGACCTCGCGGACCGTAACTCTGCACAACGGCAACACCTGATCGACTTTTTCCGTGCTCTCGCCATCTGCCACAGCGTCCTTTCTGATCGCCCGGATGCTGACAGGCAGCCGTACCACCTGGAGTACAAGGCAGAATCGCCGGATGAAGCCGCCCTAGTCGCAGCGGCTCGAGACGTCGGATTCCCCTTCGTCCAACGGGCGAAAGATTCTGTCAATATTGAGGTAATGGGCCAGCCCGAACGCTACATCCCGCTCCAGTTGCTCGAGTTTAACAGCACGCGGAAGCGGATGAGCGTTATCGTACGTAACCCGCAGGGCCAGATCATACTGTACTGCAAAGGGGCAGACAGCGTCATCTACGAGCGCCTCGCAGCAGATCACGACCCGGAGCTGAAAGCCGCCACGGCGCGCGACATGGAAGCCTTCGCGAATGGCGGCCTGCGTACGCTCTGTATCGCGTATCGATATCTCACGGAGCAGGAGTACATGGATTGGGTACACAAGTATGAGGCTGCGACAAATTCTATCAATGATCGGGACGAGGAGATCGACAAGGCCAACGAGCTGGTCGAGCACTCGCTGCAGATCCTGGGTGCAACCGCGTTGGAAGATAAGCTGCAGGAAGGCGTGCCCGAGGCCATTGAGACCCTTCATAAGGCAGGGATCAAGCTTTGGATCCTGACGGGTACGTGGGTCGTCGCAGCCGCCATGTCGTAATAATGCTCATAGCGTCGGCTAGGTGACAAGGTCCAGACTGCTATCGAGATTGGTATGTGAGCTTCGCCTTCACGCTCGGTCCGATGGCTAAGTGTCATCTCGGTACAACGTAGGTTTCAGCTGCAACTTGCTCAAGAGCGACATGGAGATCATGATCTTGTCGGCGGACTCGCATGAGGCGGCGCGGCTGCAGATCGAAGGGGGCCTGAACAAGATTGCGTCAATATTGGGTCCACCATCCATGAACCAGAAACAGCGCGGATTCATCCCAGGCGCCCAAGCTGCGTTTGCCGTGGTCATCGATGGTGACACCTTACGGCATGCTCTTAACCCGGACCTGAAGCAACTGTTCTTGACTCTGTCCACGCAATGCGAAACGGTCGTTTGTTGTCGTGTATCACCCGCGCAGAAGGCAATGGTTGTCAACCTAGTATGTCTTCTACATCGTGCGTCTCAGGTTGAACGGCGGCTTACACGATACGCCATAGGTCAAGGTGGGCCGCAATGCCATGACGCTTTCCATTGGCGACGGCGCAAACGACGTGGCCATGATCCAAGAGGCGAACATTGGCTGTGGTCTCCTCGGACACGAGGGTTCGCAGGCTGCTATGTCAGCGGATTACGCCTTTGGACAGTTCCGGTTCCTCACGAAACTACTACTCGTCCACGGTCGGTGGTCGTATCAACGCGTGGCGGACATGCATGCCAACTTCTTCTACAAGGTATGGTGCCTGATGGGCGAGGAATCCGGATATCATGGCTGATGTGCAATGACAGAACGTCATCTGGACCTTTGCCATGTTCTGGTTCATGATTTTCAATAGCTTCGACGCGACTTACCTGTACCAGTACACCTTCATCCTGTTGTACAACCTCGTCTTCACTTCACTACCTGTCATCGCGCTCGGAGGTGAGGCTACTCGTAAATCCGTGCATGACGCGTAGCTCACCCAGTTTCGCAGCTTTCGACCAGGACATCAACGCCAAGGCCGCCCTTGCTTTCCCTCAGCTCTACATTCGAGGCATCCGTGGTCTAGAGTATACGAGACTGAAGTTCTGGCTGTACATGCTAGACGGTCTTTACCAGTCCGCGGTGGTCTTTTTCATCCCGTACCTAGTCTGGACGCTGGACATTGCCGTCTCATGGAACGGAAAGACTATCGAATCCCTCGCCGACTTCGGCACGACAGTGTCGGTGGCTGCTATCATTGCTGCGAACACCTACGTTGGCATCAACACCCATTAGTGCGTGTGCCTGGTCCTTGGTTGAACTGCTGTATCGGACTTACAGCTTCCACAGCTGGACTGTCATAACTTGGGTGATTGTCGTTGGCTCGTCGGTTGTTATGCTCGTATGGATCGCTATATACTCGGCCTTCGACAGCATCGATTTCAATGACGAGGTCGTCATCTTGTTCGGCGAGGTGACGTTCTGGGCGAGCGTTCTACTCTCGGTCGTAATAGCTCTTGGTGCGTGGGACATCCCATGTTTGTGACCGAACTCTCACATGTCCTGTAGGTCCGCGCTTTGTGGTGAAGTTCTTCACGTCAACCTATAGGCCACTCGACAAAGATATCGTCCGAGAAATGTGGGTGCTTGGAGATCTCAAGGACCGTCTCGGCATCAAACATAGGCGCGAGCGCAAGAAGGGTAAGCTCGAGCAAACGCCCATGTTCCACCAACCTCATTGTCGGTCAGAGTCGGAGATTAGCCAACACGAAGAGGACTACTCCACTCCACCCATACCCCGCACACCTATCACTGACGGCTCACCCCGCCCCAGCGCCCCTCTCATTGCTGGGGAGTCTCCACGTCACTCCCCAAGACCAGACAGGCTAGAGGAGGGTGCGTACGACCACAGAGGGTCACCGACGCCCTCTGTGCGGGCCAAGATATCGACCAGCCCCTCCTTGCAGAGGTTGTCATACTACTCCGTGTCCGGAATCCCAGCACCATCACCTCTTCCGGAACCAAACCGATACCATGCGTATACCCGCGACTCCGGTACGACGACCGCATACCAGACCGAACCCCCCATGTCTGCCGTCTCTCACAACTCCGTCACCTACACGCCGTCGTCACCAACACATTCCGCACCTCCATCCGCAACGCTCCAAGTCCCTGGCGCACGATCACCCAGGTCTATCACACCTGCAACCCCAGCGGAGCAATATGAGATGCGGGTCCGCACACCCACCGATCAGCAATGGACAGGGTACTCCCCGCATCCTCAAGAGCCGGTGCACACACCGATGGCAACCGAGGACTCCTACGCAACAGCGTATGATGGGTACGACGCTGGCGAGCTCACCCCGGGGCATCACCAGCAAGAGGAGTCGTGGCGAAGTAGCACCTACTCGTACTCGGGGCCACACGCAATATAGGGCGGCGCGCCGGCCTGCGCCTGGCTGTGTGTGACATTACGTGTGTTCTAACGTGGATTATATGTACGGGTTGGGCTCCGGTCGCTGGACACTTTGCTGTTCGCTTTATTTATTCTTGCTTGTATCGCTCGCTGCTTTCGCTCATTCACATTCACCTCTTCGACGTTGTTTCGGCTCGAACACCACGCGTTATGTCTCGCTTCGCTTCGCTCCTTTCTCTCCCTTTCACGCGGATGGTGGCTCTCCCTGGATCTTAGAAGTAGAACATCGTTAACTTGACTTATTGTCCATAATATAGTAGCATCTATGACGCAGCCGTCAAAGATTGAGATCGCCCGCCACTAAAGTACATACACGACGCCTCGAGTGAATTTGAAAGCTTATGAAGTCGCCCAAGTTGTGTCCGTAACGGCTCGAGCATATATCCGGGCTGCTTAGGCCTCCGTACACATCCAAGTCGATATCATCGCATCACTAAGAGAGTGCAGTGGGCGATTGTAAAAAAGAGCTGCCCCTGTGAGGCTCGAACTCACGACCTTCCGATGATTCATTTTCTCGCCCGAGAAACGTAACAGTCGGACGCTGTAACCAACTCAGCCAAGGGGCACATGCTATAAGTACCTTAATGACCTATATGTTGACATAGCACTGATAAATGCTCATTTTTAGTGGGTCTGACGGGTTTGTGCACCTTAATCACAGAGCCGTAGCATTGTTGTATAATGGTGAGAACAATCCAGTTATAAAACGGATGAACAAGGCCAAAAAGTTTGTGGGCGGCGTTAGGGCGGCCCGGCAAGTCTTGAGCGCTTGAACGGGGACTAAGAAATGCGGAGGCAACATCGCAAATCCGCCCTTTGCTGCGAACCACCACCATCTCCTCTGCTCCGTCCCTGTTATCCTTCCCTCGCGCCGCTGGACGTTCATTCCAGCGCGATGCGTAGCTTTTTTGCGAGCGCGTTGTTGCTGGCGGCGGTCCCGGGGCAGGTCATCTCGAACGAGCATTCATCACCGGACAACGGCAAGGGAGGCATTCATCTACCGATCCGCCGAGGAGGTCAGAACAAATGGAAAAGAAGCGGCCAGTCTTCCGCGATGGTGGGCGTAGGCGACTACCAAGATGTGTGAGTCTATGTATTATACGTACTTAGCTTTGTTTTTAACCCGTTGCGGCGGTAGAACCTACAGTGTTCTGGTCACGGTGGGATCTACGTCAACTCCTCTCATTCTAGGTGTGTGTATGCTATGTCTCTTTGCACGCCGCACACTTGACTCATGACTATCCCTTTTCTATGCTCAGACACTGGCTCCTCCGATCTCTGGCTCGTGTCCGACGGATATAAGGGTCTTCGCTCTAGTACCAACGTCCCGCTTTACTCCGCGGCAGCACTCGCATCTGCCGGTCAAGATGTCCAGCTTCTCTACGGCGACTCTCGTACTGGCACGCGGGCGACCGGTCCTATTGGTACGGACACCGTTTCTATAGCGGGGCTATCTGTGTCGGACCAGTACTTTGCCGCCATAGTGGACACGAATACGACTGTGCTGGACACTGGTTCTACCGGCATCCTTGGTCTTGGTTTCCCTCCCATCAGTCTCATCTGGCGTCAGCTCTCGGCCTCCCAGCTTTCTCAGCCTATACCGTCTGCTGCCAAGCGCGCTGACCGCATAGCTAACGACTCCAGCGTGTCATCGCCCTCACTCGGTTTGGATAATACGCATCTAAGGCGACAAACTAACGTGGCGGCACCGATCTCGACTGTAGATACGTTTGCTTCGCTGGGTCCTCTGCTCACGAGATTGGTGACTTGGAAGGTTCTCCAGCGGCCGCTTGTCGTCACGACTCTGCAACGCGACACGATCTCCCTCAGTGGTAATGACGGGACGCTTTCTCTGGGCGCTCTGCCCTATGGTCTAGCAGACGATCGACTGACCTGGGTTCCTGTGCGTTCTTACTCTGTGGCTGAGGGTGGTCTTCCTGCGCCTCCTAATGCGCCAAACGAAGTCAGTTTGTACGTGTCTCGTTGATTTGGTGCATAGTTGAACGAACTGTAGGTATACCCGCTCGTTTGGGAGATTCCAATCGATGATGTGTACCTTGATGGTGTCAGGCTACCGCGCTCTACGCTCTCACCACAGTCGATTTCTCTATCAGCATTAGTGGATACAGTGAGTTCACATCGCTCCGGCCGTGCTTCCAGTAATCTACCTCAACTTTAAATTCTATGCAGGGAAATTCACTCATACGCGGTCCCCAAGATGTGGTTTCATGGGTTTACAACCAGCTCGGTCTCGATGCATCCGGCACGTTTGACTGCTCGATTCCGCACAATCTAACGTTCCAAATCGGGGGCGCGCTTTTCCCTGTTGACCCGCGCGATTTCGCTCATCCTACATCTGTAACTCCCGGCACAGTCTATCCTAGCGAAGTAGCGCGATGCACACCTGCGCTCGCCGTGACAGATCCCCCAGGTAATGGAGGATTCCTGTACAGTTGGAGCCTGGGCGATCCATTCCTTAAGTCGTAAGTTCCGTGGGTCGTTCGATACGCCCTCACCCTACTGATGTTTGGGCAGGAATATGGTCGCATTTTACTACGGGAACATGACGCGACCTTCTCAAGACCCTGCACGTGTCGGTTTCATGTCTATGGTTCCGTCGGATGCGGGCGACGTCCTCGAGAAAGCTGTGGACGCCGCGATCCACAACGGCGGCATCTTCCTCTGTCTGTATTCCCCGCTTCAATGTTCCTCCTGCTACCAACAACTGACGAGACACGCGCATCTTCGCAGCGACCTCCGAGTCGGCGCCGGACGCTGCGACGGCGGGTTTTGCACATACGATGACGGCGAAAGACCTGCCGCGGATCACGCAAGGTTCGCGCGCGGCTACCAGTAACGCAGGACGTGCGAGGGCCAACTTCTGGATCGGCATGCTGATTGCTGCTTTCTCTGCAGGGATCATGCGATATCTGCCCTAGATTTCGTCGTTCCTGTGTCGTCGCCGCCAGCATGTTATATCGCTGTTGAACGTATGCCTCCTGTCAGTCGTGTTTGATTTGTATTCTGTTCACGTACGCTTGTGTGCAATCTATGCTTAGGACTCACCAATGGAACGACACCTCACCAAGGCTAAGGACGAAGCGCGCACGAAACAGGTTGCTGAGCGTAAGACGTGCGTAGGCACTGGGGAAAATGCTAGTTGGGCAGCGTGCTCATGGCGGAGGTGCGCGGGTTTTGATTAAGGCACGATTAATCTCTCAACATTGAACAGTTTACACGGAATCATAGCGAACTGAGCCTTACCTTACGCTCGCTACACCTGTATGGCTTGTCGCGTTGATCCATGGTAGGCAGCCCCTACGCGAGACGGTTGTCACGTGGGCGTGTCAGGAATATTCCCACGGGTGATGCCGAGGCTGCGGGGAAGGCCCAGGTGACTGTTCAGTGTTCTGTATTCAGTCGACGATCGTCATACGGCTGGTCTTGCGACCGCGCTCTCGCTCTCCATCCTTCTTTCGGCTGCCACCATGCCGACTTTGTCCGGTTTCTCTCTCAGACGGAATCCTCCAGGACATCCAGTTCTCCCCTCCCATAGGCTCCACGACCGACCCATGTTCCGCCACACGTCCGACGGCGGCCATCTTTGCGTTGCAGAACATTCACGCTCGCGGATTGGTGCAGGATTCGCGGACGTGGGCCTTTCCTAGCGCATCTGCGGTGCCCCGTGGGGCCCTGCAGGACGCAACGGGGACGCCCCAGACCATACCCGATCGAAGCAGCTCCCCCGCCCAATGGCCATGTTTCCGCACCGTCACCTGACGGCCTTGCCCCGCGGCCCCTGTGCGAGACGCATTCCGTAACCCGCCCCTTTCCCTCTCTTCCCTCGCCCGAGCCCTCAACAGAGCCCGTGCCGACCCCCGCGCTCAGCGCTGCCCTTTTCTCTCACCCATCGGTGCAGATCGGCTCCCTGCGCCCCCGGCGGGTCCCTAAATACCCCCAGATATTCTCGTCCCAGTCTCGAGCCCTTCGCACACACGTACGTCTCCTCGCGACCACGACGTTTCACCCGCCCCCGCTCGTACGACGACCACCAGCCGACGCTGTGTCGCGCGCGTACGATACATATTCCACCTCAACGTTCGACGACAAGACGCGAGCGCCCATCTAGACGGTACAAGTTATCCGTTTCGATCGCTCCCAGAACGCCCTGTTGCATCATACTAGCTAGACGGGATACCCCTCTACTCTTCCTGCCGACATGTCCAAGACGATAGAGCAGTCCGCCACGGCGTTGCCCGTGACTGTTGTAGACACCGCGGCCGCGGCCGCACCCAAGAAGAAGAAACCGTACCCGTTCTGGCTTGGAGGTGCGTCCGACGGCAGGGCCCTGGCTCCCTCGCCCATCGACATAACGTTCGTGTTCCTGACACCCTTTCCCTTCCTTCTTGGTGCCCTACGATAGGTGTCGCGGCGACCATCGCGGCGTCGATCACACAGTGAGTTCCCGGCTACCCGCCATCGATGCGTGGGACCGACGAGGCTCACGGCGCGTCGTGTGCAGCCCGCTGGACCTGACGAAGGTCCGGCTGCAGGCGACGGGCGACAAGCGCATGATCGAGTCGATGCGGAAGACCGTGCGCACCGCGGGCGTCCTGGGCCTCTTTGACGGCATCTCCGGGACGTGGCTGCGGCAGATGACATACTCGATCTGCCGCTTCTGGGCGTACGACGAGAGCAAGAAGCTCATCGGCGCGAGTGCGTGTTCGGTCGCTGTCGTTGTCCAGCGTGCGTGAGACTGACGCTGGGGGGTGGGGGACGGTAGACGAGAAGAGCCCGGCGTGGAAGCTCGCGTTGGCGGGTAGTATGGGTGAGTACGGTAGCCTCGTGCAGCCAGGTACGCGACGCTTATAGACTCACCACAGCGGGCGGCATCGCGGGCTTTGTCGGGAACCCCGGAGGTGAGAAACGCGAACGCGCTCCGTCGCAGCGTCTTTCTTTCATGGAAAACACAAACGCTCACGAACGGCCGGTGCTTGCTAGAAATCCTCATGGTCCGCATGCAGGGCGACTTTGCCAAGCCCCCCGAGAAGCGCCTGGGCTACAAGAACGCACTTGATGGCCTCTTCCGCGTGCGCACTACCCGTTTGCCATTCCCCGCGCGTCGATTGGCTGACCGCGCTTGTGTGTGTGCATTTTAGATGATTCGCGAGGAAGGATGGTCCTCGTTGGGGCGCGGTGTGGGTCCCAATGTGTTCCGCGCGATCCTGATGAACGCGAGCCAGCTCGCCTCGTGAGTGCCCTCACTCGCTTTAGTCGTGCACTTAGCAGTGCGACGGGCTGAACGTCGCGGGGTTGTGCAGGTACGACTTTTTCAAGGCCGAACTCTTGAAGACGAAGTATTTCGAGGACAACATATACTGCCACACTGCCGCAAGTTTCGCTGCGGTGAGTTCGGCCGATACGATGTGCCTACGTTAACAATAGAGGCGCTGATCGCTATCGCACAGGGCACCGTCGCCACGACCGTCTGCTCCCCCGCCGACGTGCTGAAGGTGAGTCGCCTTCTTCTAGCCCCCCCAATCCCTCTCTCCCGCTGACCGTGCGT